TGAAAAAATGAGAAATCGGAAATCGAAAACTTAAAAATTGGAAAAACTGAAAAACAGAAATATTCAAAGAGTGAAACATCGAAAAATCGAAAAAGCTAAAATTAAAAAATAGAAAAATTAAAAAACTGAGAAATCAAAAAATTTAAAAGTCGAAAAATTGCGAAACCGAAAAGCTGAATAATCGAAAAGTCAAAAATAGAAAACTCGAAAAATTAAACAATTGAAAAAAAAACTGAAAATTGGAGAAATTGAAAAACTGTAACATCGAAAAGTCGATAAACCGAAAAGTCGAAGAATCGACAAATCGAAGTCAACTAAAGAAAAGTCGAAAAATCGAAAAATTCAAAATTCAAAAAAAATTAAAAATCAATATGCACAAGAGAGGAATTTGTTCCTAAATTTTGATTATTTTTTTGTAAAAGTTAGTTATTAGTACTTGCTAATATAAAACTGATTTTGACAATGACATATTTTCTAAAAAAAGAGAGGGTGGGTGGGCGGGGCTAGTACCTGCTAAGAAAGACTGATTTTGGCAAATGAGATCTCTCTAAGAAAATAAAGGGTGGGTGGGCGGAGTCATCACACATCCGCGCCAACACCCTAGATGGCATTGTTGTGGGGCAACATGTTACATATATTACCAAGAAATAAGGCTGTAAAAAAAGCGCGAATCGTAACTTTTTTATTGTATTATTTGTTATCACATTTATATTTTATTTCAGAAAAAAAAAATTACACAGCAGCATGTACAACTTTGTCTCTTTGTTATCATGTTCCTTAGTGATAACATTTTTTAAGTAAGCAACACTCAATTTACCAATTCAATTTTTTCCTACAGTCTTTTATAAGCAAGCAATAGCCCCGCCCACCCTCCCCCATTTTATTCCAGTTACTACCATTAATATTGTTCAGTCTTATCATCGCAAGTGTTAGGCCCGCCCACCCACCCTTTGTTTTCTTAGAGAGTATATTACTGCCAAAATCAGTCTTATCTTATCAAGTACTAACCCCGCCCACCCTCCCTTTTTTCATCTAGCGACTAATTTTATTTCTGCATAAGATCCTCTTTTCGTTCAGAGCAGATCAAATAAATCACCGAAATGGAGGCGGGTGGGTGGGCGGGGTTATTTATATGTTCTTCTGTAGAGTAGGAGTGGTAAGGAACTGATAGAAACTACGCTCTAAAAAAGCGCTAATCATAACTATTTGTTATAAGATTTATTTCTTATCTCAGAAGAAAAAAAAATACACAACAGTATGTTCTTCGTTTCTTTGTTAAAATGTTCCTTGGTGACACCATTTTTAAGTAAGCAACATTCAATTTACCAATTTATCTTTTTTCTAGTCTTTTTTAAGCAAGCAATAGCCCCGCCCACCCTCCCCCATTTTATTCCAGTTACTACTCTTAACATTGTTCAGTCTTATCATTGCAAGTACTAGCCCCGCCCACCCGCCCTCTATTTTCTCAGAGAGTATATTACTGCCAAAATCAGTCTTATCTTATCAAGTACTAGCCCCACCCACCCTCCCTTTTATCATCTAGCGACTAATTTTATTTCTGCATAAGATCCTCTTTTCGTTCAGAGCAGATAAAATAAATCATCGAAATGGAAGCGGGTGGGTGGGCGGGGTTAGTTATGTTCTTCTGTAGAGTAGGAGTGGTAAGCAACTGATAGAAACTACGCTGTAAAAAAGCGCTAATCATAACTATTTGCTATAAGATTTATTTCTTATCTCAGAAAAAAAAAATACACAACAGTATGTATAACTTTGTTTCTTTGTTAAAATGTTCCTTGGTGACACCATTTTTAAGTAAGCAACATTAAATTTACCAATTTATCTTTTTCCTAGTCTTTTATAAGCAAGCAATAGCCCCGCCCACCCTCCCCCATTTCATTCCAATTACTACTATTAATATTGTTCAGTCTTATCTTAACAAGTACTGGCCCCGCCCACCCTCCCTTTTCTCATCTAGCGACTAATTTTATTTCTGCATAAGACACTCCTTTCATTCAAAGCAGATAAATAAATCACCGAAATGGAGGCGGGTGGGTGGGCGGGGATAGTTATGTTCTTTTGTAGAATAGAAGTGGTCAGCAACTGATAGAAACTACGCTCTAAAAAAGCGCTAATCATAACTATTTGTTATAAGATTTATTTCTTATCTCCAAAGAAAAAAAAAACAACAGTATGTATAACTTTGTTTCTTTGTTAAAATGTTCCTTGGTGACACTATTTTTAAGTAAGCAACATTCAATTTACTAATTTATCTTTTTCCTAGTGTTTTATAAGCAAGCATTAGCCCCCCCACCCTCCCCCGTTTCATTCCAGTTACTACTATTAACATTGTTCAGTTTTATCTTAACAAGTACTAGCCCCGCCCACCCTCCCTCTTCTCATCTAGCGACTAATTTTATTTCTGCATAAAATCCTCCTTTCATTCAAACCAGATACATAAATCACCGAAATCGAGGCGGGTGGGTGGGCGGGGTTAGTTATGTTCTTTTGTAGAGTAGGAGTGGTAAGCAAATGATAGAAACTACGCTGTAAAAAAGCGCTAATTACAACTATTTGTTATAAGATTTATTTCTTATTTCAGAAGAAAAAAAATTGAGAGAAAGGGTGGGTGGGCGGGGTTAAGTTTAGTTTTTCCCAGAAAATTTTATAGGCAAGCAATCTCGTTTTTTTTAGTTTTCAAATTTAGAATTAAAAGTCTCAATGTAGCAAGAAATATTAGAAGTTAGTACGAATTTTAATTACATTTTCAGCTTTTAATAACGCGTTATATTTTACTGAGTTATTTTAATTTTCATATACGCTACTAAATAGTGTCCCCAAGTTTACTCGAATACATTTCTTTTCTTTTTTTTGATGACCCCTATAACTTAAATAAATCTAGGCGGATTCATAAACCACAAGTTCAGGATTGTAATTTTTTTAAATTTGAATAGTACATATTTACAAAATGTTGGTAGGGGTAATCAGACAAATTCTGCTAATCGTTTCACAATCTACACAAAATTCCTAAAATACAAATAAAACTTGATAAAAATCAGTACAATAGTTTCGGAGATTATCTTTCTAACGAAATCGACATACACGAGAAACTATAAACAAATGGACGGAAACGGGAAAATTACCGTTTTATTTACTTGGAAGCATTTATTCTAGTCAATGTTCAATTTATTTCGAATTAAACTTCATTTAAAAAGGCCTTAACATGTGTTATATTTTACATACATTTCTACATCAGTGTCTTTTTTTACTTCCCCATACTTTCGTGCCTTCTTGATGACGTTTCGTGATGCCTAAAGCAGAAAAAGTAGATCCTCCGTTTCCGTCTGTAGTCAGTGTCAATTTTTATTAGGCAGATAATTTCAAATCTGTCTCTTTGGTACTTATTTTGCATTTAATTTTGAAAAAAAAAAAAAAAAATCTTGCAGATGTTTTCGACCAATTGTTTTCCTATTGTAGGAGCTGTCAACAAAAACCAAAAATCCCCAAAACCAGATTTTATTATTTACTCAAAAAACTGAACTTGTTTTATTCAGGAAGTTCAAAACTCATTTTCAAACGATTACTACGGACTTAATACCCCAGACCTCATTTTTTTCGCATAGTTCCACAGCCGGTCCAAGATTATTGGCGCATTGCAGTACACCGTTATTTCTTAACAGGCATTTTAACCAAACAATGCTTCAAACGGAACGCAAAATCGCCTTACCTTCCATAAAAACTAAGTAGAAATCACACTTTTGAAGCATCTTCGCGAATAACTAATTTTTTGCATTTAACCTCATCTGAACGCCGCCACCGCTAATCCAAAGCGTGCCCAGAATTCAAACGCGTTTTCAATTCGTTTTAAAGAACGTCGATATTTTAAGAGTTTGCTAAAAAATAAAGTTATTTTTAATTTCGCACGGACGCCGTGCGATGACGCCATCAACTTTTAAGTGGGGGTAAATATATTAATTTTATAATTCTGTTAGCATTACGTGTTCTTGGAAATGCAGGACAAACAAATAAACCATTTTAATTAATTTGGTTAATAATTGATTACTTTTCGGGGTACTTGTATAAGCACCGTTTAATGATTAATTTGAAATGACGTCACTAAGTTTTTGTACGGGATCAATAAATAAAGTCGATGATCACTTCATTTTTCAATTTGAGTTGACAGTTTAATATATATGACAACAACATAGTTTGTTTACTACGTGGTGGTCGGTTGAAATGAAACAGCCTGTACATGGATGAGTCGTCGGTATAATCTAGAAGTGCACTTAAAATCCGATATGACTTTTTTTTTTAATTCAAGGTGAAAAACACGGTGAGATGCTTTTTAATTACTGTATTTATAGTTTAATGGCTATCTGTTCCCGAATTAACTGTACATTCTACATCAGTGATCATTAAAGTCATCTCTACGTGTGCACGGCTTGTAAACCATTAAAAATTAACGTTAGTCCGGAATCCGTAACAATTAACTTCTTTCGAAAAAAAAATAAATAAATAAAAGTATGCACAATGCAAGGCACTGCGGATTATACAAGCTTTAGCACTTATCGAACAGCGATCTAGAAACGAAGTAAAAATCGATTAACCGTGACAGAACAAAAACACGACCAATCAATCGGTATCTCATTCCGTTCGCCAAAAATCCCCCAAACGTCAAATTTTTCGACATTTTCAAATTTCTAAGAAGCTCGAGTCGACTCATTGATTGAGTCGCCGTCCTAAAATCCTTGTTTTCCGAAACACCAAACACACAATCTCTAAAAATAGCCTTCCGCCGAGCCCGTCAAAGCCGAAAAGCGAAATTCGCGAGAACGGGATGGACTTTTTGCACGTCCTTGCAGGTGGAAACAGGGTCTAATTAGCGTAGAATCGGTGGAGCGCGACCGTAACTCTAATAAACGAAATGACGTAAGTCGACGATAAAACAAATCCGATCTGCATTTCTGGCGAAAGCCTCGTTATTTGCGGCATCTCGGACTTACCGCTATCGATATACAATTGTCTTCTCCTCCCGAAGGGAATTTCACGATAAATTTCGACCCAGCCTTCTCCTCTGAATCATTGAGGGGTCGAAACCTACACACGACTTTAATACTGTCTTCTGCTGGTATTTCGCGTTCGCCGGACATTTTAAAGCACTTAAATCACTCACAGCACGGTAATAAATAAATAACAAAACTAATTAAAACTATAAATGATACATTTGTATAAAAAAGTTGCGGTTTCTTTCCGACACTGACGACTCCTACATCGAACCGACAGCCATCTTGGCAATGAATAAAAGAAATCAAAGAAATCAAAGACTGCATTGGACGGACGGTGCTGCCATCGGGCGGACGGCGCAAGCGGGGTAAGGCGGAGTCTACACGAGTGAGAGACGCAAACGTAGACGTGACATTGTACACTTTGTGTTAAAAACTAATTAAATTTGACAAGTTTCTTTGACATTGCGTTGTAGTAACACATATCTACGTGTTGCTAACAATCAAAAATCGGAATGATAAGGTAAAAGACAAAGACGGATTCATAACACAGGTATGAACTATGTTATTTCATAACATTTATTACATTTTAAAAAATTTTGACTACTTGTCGACTCTGAGTCTGATTTTTCAGTTCTTCAGTTCTTCAATTTTTCGATTTTTCAGGTTTTTGATTTTTCAATTTTTGGATTTTTTAAGTTTGCGATCTTTCGACTTTGCTTTTTTGACTTTTCGATTTCTCAATTTTTCAATTTTTTGATTTCCCAATTTTTGCATATTTCGTTCAATTTTGTGATTTTTCAGTCTTCCGATTGTTCAATTTTTCTTCTACAGTAGCGGTCATTTCTACGGAACCACTCGATAAAAAGTCAAGTTGGTAGCCCTGTCATCTAGTACTTTACGCCGAACGCGGTTGGTAGCGGTAGTTGATATGGCAATCGAAATTAGCACAACACGAATGTTTCGGTTGCCCTCAGCTATGCCGCACTGTATCCCGTACAGACTGTATGTTCTGTTCATCTATTTATTAAAATAAAATATCTACATTGACAATGGGGCCATCTAACCTGTCAAATTTTTGACACATATGTTTCCCCCAGAAACCCGTCAAGGTCACTTACACCAAACAAATTTTGAAAATTTACACTAGGGAGTGGTTCTATAGAAAAGATCGCGACTTTATTTTCCAATTTTTGGGATTTTTTAGTATTTCGGCTTTTCGATTTTTTAAGTTCTGGATTTTTGGATTTCTGAACTTATTACTTTTTGGATTTTCAATTTTTCGTTTATTAAACTTTCAGTTTTTAGACTGTTTTATACTTCGATTTCTCAATTTTTCAACTTTTCGATATTTTAATTTTTCAGTGTTTTAAATTTTAGATTTTTCGATTTTTCGATTTTTCAGTTCTTTAATATTTTTTAATTTTTCAAATTTGGCGTTTCTGAATTTTCACTTTTCCGATTTCTCAATTAATCAATTTTTTTGATTTTTAATTTTTCTATTTTTTAATTTTACGATTTTTTGACTTTTCAATTCCTCAATTTTTCAATTTATTAATTTTCCAATTTTTGGATATTTTGTTCAATTTTGCGGTTTTTCAGTCTTTCGATTCTTCAATTTTTCTTCCATTTCGCAATTTTTCGGTATTTCAGTTTTGGTATCTTTTAGTATGTATTTCGACTTTCCGATTTTTTGAGTTCTGGATTTTTGTATTTCTGGACTTTTTACTTTTGGATTTTCAATTTCTCGTTTTTTAAACTTTCAATTGTTCGACTGTTTTGTATTTCGATTTCTCAATTTTTCAACTTTTCGATATTTTAATTTTTCGATATTTTAAATTTCAGATTTTTAGATTTTTCAATTTTTCAGTTCTTCAATATTTTTTATACTTTCAAATTTTGGCGTTTTTTAATTTTCATTTTTTCGATTTCTCAATGAATCTATTTTTTGATTTATTTTTCTATTTTTTAATTTTGCGATTTTTTGACTTTTCAATTTCTCAATTTTTCATTTTTTTAATTTTCCAATTTTTGGATCCTTTGTTCAATTTTGTGATTTTTCAGTCTTTCGATTCTTCAATTTTTTTCTATTTTCCAATTTTTCGGTATTTCAGTTTTGTAATTTTTTAGTATTTCGACTTTTCGATTTTTTGAGTTCTGGATTTTTGGATTTCTGGACTTTTACTTTTTGGATTTTCAATTTTTCGTTTTTTAAACTTTTAATTTTTGACTGTTTTATGCTTCGTTTTCTCAACTTTTCAACATTTCGATATTTTAATTTTTCATGTTTAAAATTTTAGATTTTTAAATTTTTTAGATTTTCAATATTTTTTAATTTTCCAAAATTTGGCGTTTCTGAATTTCCACTTTTCCGATTTCTCAATTAATCAATTTTTTTGATTTTCCCGTTTCTTAACTTCCCAAATTTCGATTTTTCAGTTCTTCAGTTCTCAGTTTTTCGATTTTTCAGATTTTTGATTTTTCGATTTTTTAATTTTGCAATCTTTGAATTTGCTTTTTTGACTTTCCGATTACTCAATTTTTCAATTTTTTGATTTCTTAATTTTGCGATTTTGACTTTGCTTTTTGAGTTTTTCAGTTTTGCCATTCTTCAATTTTTCTTCTATTTTCCAAATTTTCGGTACCTATTTCAGTTCTGGGATTTTTTAGTATTTCGACTTTTCGATTTTTTGACTTTTTGATTTATGGATTTCTCTACATTCTACTTTTTGGATTTTCAATTTTCGTTTTTCAAACTTTCAATTTTTCGACTGCTTTATACTTCGATTTCTCAATTTTTCAACTTTTCGATATTTTAATTTTTTCAATGTTTTAAATTTTAGATTTTTAGATTTTTCGTTTTTTCAGTTCTTCTGAATTTTCACTTTTCCGATTTCTCAATTAATCTATTTTTTGATTTTCCGATTTCTCGACTTCCCAAATTTCGATTTTTCAGTTCTGCGGTTTTTCAATTTTTCGATTTTTCAGGTTTTTGATTTTTCAATTTTTTGATTTTTCGACTTTGCTTTTTGACTTTCTGATTCTTCAATTTTTCTATTTTCCAATTTTTGGATATTTCAGTTTTGGGATTTTTTAGTATTTCGACTTTTAACTTTTTTGATTTTTAAACTTTCAATTTTTGACTGTTTTATACTTCGATTTCTCAACTTTTCAACTTTTCGATATTTTAATTTTTCAATGTTTTAAATTTTAGATTTTTAGATTTTTTAGTTTTTCAATATCTTTTAATTTTCCAAAATTTGGCGTTTCCGAATTTCCACTTTTCCGATTTCTCAATTAATCAATTTTTTGAATTTCCCGTTTCTCGACTTCCCAAATTTCGATTTTTCAGTTCTTCAGTTCTCAGTTTTTCGATTTTTCAGATTTTTGATTTTTCAGTTTTTCGAATTTTTAATTTTGCGATTTTTTACGTTGCTTTTTTGACTTTTCGATTTCTCAATTTTTCAGCTTCACGACATTTTAAGTTTTCAATATTTTAAATTTTAGATTTTTAGATTTTTTAGTTATTCAATATTTTTTAATTTTCCAAAATTTGGCGTTTCTGAATTTCCACTTTTCCGAATTCTCAATTAATCTATTTTTTTGATTTTCCCAATTCTCGACTTCCTAAATTTCGATTTTTCAGTTCTTCAGTTCTCAGTTTTTCGATTTTTCAGGTTTTTGATTTTTCAGTTTTTCGAATTTTTAATTTTGCGATTTTTGACGTTGCTTTTTTGACTTTTCGATTTCTCAATTTTTCAATTTTTTAATTTCCCAATTTTTGGATATTTCGTTCAATTTTGTGATTTTTCAGTTTTTCGATTCTTCAATTTTTCTTCTATTTTCCAAATTTTCGATATTTCTTTTCGATTTTCAATGTTTCGTTTTTAAACTTTCAATATTTTGATTGTTTTATACTTCGATTTCTCAATTTTTAAACTTCTCGATATTTTAAGTTTTCAATATTTTAAATTTTAGATTTTTAGTTTTCAATATTTTTTAATTTTCCAAAATTTGGCGTTTCTGAATTTCCACTTTCCCGAATTCTCAATTAATCTATTTTTTTTTATTTTCCCCTTTCTCGACTTTCCAAATTTCGATTTTTCAGTTCTTCAGTTCTCAGTTTTTCGACTTTTCAAATTTTTGATTTTTCAATGTTTCGAATTTTTAATTTTGCGATTTTTGACTTTGTTTTTTTGACTTTTCGTTTTCTCAATTTTTCAATTTTTGATTTCCCAATTTTTGGATATTTTGTTCAATTTTGTGATTTTTCAGTTTTTCGATTCTTGAATTTTTCTTCGATTTTCCAATTTTTCGATATTTATTATGAATTTTCAATTTTTCGTTTTTTAAACTTTCAATTTTTGACTGCTTTATATTCCATTTCTCAATTTTTCAACTTTTCGATATTTTAAATTTTAGATTTTTAGATTTTTTAGTTATTCAATATTTTTTAATTTTCCAAAATTTGGCGTTTCTGAATTTCCACTTTTCCGATTGCTCAATTAATCTATTTTTTTGATTTTCCCCTTTCTCGCCTTTCTAAATTTCCATTTTTCAGTTCTTCAGTTCTCAGTTTTTCGATGTTTCAGATTTTTGATTTTTCGAGGATTCGATTATTTAATTTTGCGATTTTTTACTTTGTTTTTTTGGTTTTTCGATTTCTGAATTTTTCAATTTTTTGATTTCCCAATTTTTGGATATTCCGTTCAATTATGTGATTTTTCAGTTTTTCCATTCTTCAATTCTTCTTCTATTTTCCAAATTTTCGGTATTTCAGTTCTGGGATTTTTTAGTATTTCGACTTTTCGATCTTTGACTTCCTGATTTTTGGATTTCTGTGCATTCTACTTTTTGGATTTTCAATTTTTCGTTTTTCATACTTTCAATTTTTCCATTGCTTTATACTTCGATTTCTCAATTTTTCAACTTTTCGATATTTTAATTTTCAATGTTTTAAATTTTAGATTTTTTTATTTTTCAATTTTTCAATTCTTCAGTATTTTTTAATTTTTCAAAATCTGGCGTTTCTGAATTTTGACTTTTTCGATTTCTCAATTAAGCTATTTTTTGATTTTCCCATTTCCCAAAGTTTTTATAAATTTTATGTTTTTCGATTTCTTAAGTTTTCGGTTTTTCTATATTTCAGTTTTTCAATTTTTGGAATTTTTAAATTTCTTCTTTCCAATTTAATTTTTAATTTTTCGATTTTCCAATTTTTTGATATTCCGAAATAGTTATAAATAGGGTAAAATCGAAAAATCGAAAAGTTAAAAATGGAAAAATTAAAACATCGAAAAGTTGAAAAATTGAAAACTCGAAGTAATAAGAAAAATCAAAGAATTAAGGTTTAACGAAAAATTGAAAAGCCAAAAAGTAAAAAATCTAGAAATCAAAAAATCCAGGGGTCCAAAAATTGGACTATGCTACTTTTTAACATTTAATTAACATTTATTCGACGAAATTGTAAGAAGACATCATCAATTCCTGAGGGGCATGAACAGTCCTTCTGGACTTTCAGTGACTCTTTTGTATCCACAAATTAACTGACATACGTCATCTTGTCAAATTTCGTCTCTAACGTAAACGTCAATGTAACGTAACGCAGCCGTAACAAGCGCGTACGTTGCGCACCGGCTCCTGTAAACGCCTCCATCGACTCATTTTTTGCTGTCATTCTTCATTGTTACAAATCATAAACCGCCATCCTTTCACAGATTTTGCAACAATAATTAAAAATTTCACGCTTCGTTTAACCCATTTCAGCTTTTTTCCCGTTTGACGTGGCTGTCAGTAGCCAACTGTCAAACCTGTGTGTCAAACTTCGAATTGACATTTAGCAGCTGATAACTAGGGCCCCGTTATCGTTTGTTTTGGAATGGAAGCCCCCGGATCAAGTATCCCCCGATAACACGCCACGCAATTGCTTTTATCGCCACTCGTCCCATAATGATAGTCGCCATTCATTTCAATTCGTGCCTAACATGATCACCAATCAAGGTTATTTGATTTGCAAATTATGGTGAGTTCGAGCGAATAATTCCACTAAATTACCTCACTCGAAATTTCAGTCCCTAAGGCTCATGTCCGCAGTAATATCGACGTCACTGCCCTCCCAAACGAAGCCCGAAAGCGCTGAGAAACTACTGAAACAACTCCTAGAATGTGTGCAGGAATGCCAGCGACGATACGGAGGGAAAACCGAGCTGGCAACGGAATTTGATAGTTGCGTTGTGGCGTTGTGTTTGACGCTAGAAGCGGTGTTGTTGAACGGGCTTCGAGCCAAGGCGCAAGAGAGCCCCCAGACGTCGACGCTCAAACAAGTGTCGGATATTGTGGCTAATAGTCTCCACATCGGGAACGAGAGCCCCTGTAAGTGACGCTTTGGCGTTAATTAGTGTGCTAATGTTAAGTTTTAAGCGTTTTGGCCGTTCATAAAAAAGCACCTAACGAGGCATGAGCAGGAGCGCTACGTGGTGTTGAAACATATCTGGACGGACACTGGGAGAGGGCGGGCCTGGATTCGGGCGTCTTTGAACGAGAGGTCGCTAGAACGGTAGGTCCACGGAAATGGGGGTTTTACCTGGATTTTGATAAGAATGGTTTGTGTGAAACTGATAACAAAACCACATACCACAATATTGTTGGGAATTTTTGTAATTTTGGGTATCTAGTGGTTGTGGGGATAGCGCGGGATTTTGCTTTTTTGAAAATGCTTGATGCTGTGCTGTTTTTATCATCCTGACTTAATAATAATAATAATTTATTTTCGTATTTTTGCACTTAAATTGCTTATGAAAATTGTATTATGTTTACATTTTAATGAAAATAATTTATTATTATTAAGTGAGGATGATAAAAACACAGCACAGCAACAAGCATTTTATAGACACTGTTGCCAATTCATTAAACGACCCCCGAATTCCCTACTCCCCTGTATATACACATAAGAACAAAATCCCGCGCTAACCCCACAAGCACTACATAAATCTTTACTCAAAATTAAAAAAATTCTCAACCAAATTGTGGTATGTGGTTGTGTTATCAGTTTCACAGTTAGTAAGAAATCGAATAAACTGACGAATATCAACAATTCGAAAATAAAACAAGACGAAATCTAGGAATGAAATATATAAAAATCATCACTTACATTTTTCGATTTTTCGACTTTTCGTGTTTTTGATTTTTCACTTATTCTATTTTTCAGTTTTTTTATTTTTCGAATTTTTAAATTTTAGGAGTTTTCACTTTTTTGTTGTTTCGATTTCTGTCTTTCGATTCTTCTTATTTTTAGATTTTTCGAATTTTCTATTTTTTGGAATTAATTTTTTAGAATTGATTTTTCAGTTTCGACGTTTCGATATTTCATTTTTTGGTTTATGGGTTTTTCTATTTTTAAATTTTTGCAATTTTGAATTTTCACATTTTTTGATTTTTAGCCACTTCAATTTCTCAATTTTTCGACTTCCCGACTTCTCGATCTTTTGATGTTTCGATTTTCCAATTTTTTACCGTTTCAGTTTTGGAATTATGTATTTAAAATTTAAATGTTTGGATTTTTGAATTTTTCAATTTTTGGCGTTTCTAAATTTTTGGATATTCAGATTTGTCAAATTTTGGAATTTTTTACTTATTCGATTTGTCAAAATATTGATTTTTCTATTCGTTGATGTTTTGATTGCTCGATTTTTTTGTTTTCAATTTTTCGAATTTTTAAATTTTATCTTTTTCACTTTTTGTTGTTTCGATTTCTCAATCTTCCGATTTTTTGCCTTCTCGTTTTTAGATTTTTCGACTTTTCAATTTTTCGGAATTAATATTTCAGTTTTTCGACGTTTTGTTTTCACTGTTTGGTTTATCGGTTTTTTATGTTAAAATTTTTCAATTTCGAATTTTCCCATTTTTCGATTTTTAGCCACTTCAGTTTCTCAATTTTTCAATTTTTGGTGTTTCTAAATTTTTCGATTTTCCGATTTCCCGATTTCCCGATTTCTCAATTTTTCGATTTTCAGATTTTCATTGTTTAAGTTTTAGGATTTTGCATATGTATTTCGATTTTTGAATTTTCAATTTTTCGATTTTCTGTTTTTTGATTTTTTACTTATTCGTTTTTTCAAAATTTTGCTAGTTTTTAAATCCTACATTTTTCGATTTTTCGATTCGTTGATTTTTGATTTCTCAATTTTGTAAGTTTTCAATTTTTCGAATTTTTAAATTTTAGATTTTTCACTTTTTTGTTATTTCGATTTGTCAAAATTTCGGATTTAATTCTGCAGTTTTTCGATATTTCGCATTTTCAATTTTTCGATTTATCGGTTTTTTGACTTTTAAGTTTTTCAATTTCGAATTTTTCCATCTTTTGATTTTTAGCCACTTCAGTTTCTCAATTTTTCGATTTTTCAATTTTTGGTGTTTCTAAATTTTTCGATTTTCCGATTTCTCGATTTCTCAGTTTTTCGATTTTCAGATTTTCAATGTTTAAGTTTTGGGATTTTTCATATGTATTTCGATTTTTAAATTTTCAATTTTTGGATTTTATGTTTTTTTATTTTTTACTTATTCGATTTTTCAAAATTTTGCCATTTTTTAAATCCTACCTTTTTTGATTTTTAAATTTTTTGATTTTTCAGTTCGTTGATTTTTGATTTCTCAATTTTGTCAGTTTTCGATTTTTCGAATTTTTAAATTTTAGATTTTTCATTTTTTTGTTATTTCGATTTGTCAAATTTTCGGATTTAATTCTACAGTTTTTCGATATTTCGCTTTTTCAATTTTTCGATTTATTGGATTTTTTAAGTTTAAATTTTTCAATTTTGAAGTTTCCCATTTTTCGATCTTTAGCTATTTTGATATCTCAATTTTTCGATTTCTCAGGTTTTCGATTATTCAACTTTCCAATTTTTCGACGTTTCAGTTTTGGGATCCATGTATTTAAATTTTTCGATTTTTCAATTTTTTTATTTTCGCCGTTTCTAAATTTTTCGATTTTTCGTTTTCTTAATTTCTCGGTTATATGATTTTTTAATTTTCCGATTTTTCGATTTCTCTGTTGTAAGTTTTGAGATTTTTCAATTTTGGGATTTTTCAAGATTTCGATTTTTAAAAATTTTAGATTTTTCGACTTTCTGTTTGTTGCTTTTTTACTTTTTCGATTTTTCAAAAAAATTCGACTTTTTTTCGAATTTTTAAATTTTAGATTTGTCACTTTTTGTTTCGATTCAATTTTTCGGTTTTTCGATATTTTCGATTTTTCAATTTTTCGATTTATCGGGTTTTTTTAAGTTTAAATTTTTCAATTTGGAATTTTCCCATTTTTCCATCTCTAGCTATTTCGATGTCTCAATTTTTCGATTTTTCGACTTCTCATTTTTTTTATTTTCCATTTCGCAATTTTTCGATTTCGTTTTCTCGATTTTTCAGTTTTTCGATAATTCATCTTTTCGATTTTTCGATTTTCCAATTTTTTAACGTTTCAGTTTTGCGATTTATGTATTTAAATTTTTCGATTCTTCAATTTTTGGCGTTTCTAAATTTTAGGATTTTCCGATTTCTCAATTTTTCAATGTTTAAGTTTTGGAAATTTTCAATTTTGGGATTTTTCAAAATGTATTTCGATTTTCAAATTTTTCGATGTTTCGATTTTCTGTTTTTTTTTATTCTTTACTTATTTGATTTTTCAAAATTTTGCCATTTTTTAAATCCTACATTTTTCGATTTTTCAATTTTTTGATTTTTCGATTCGTTGATTTTTGATTTCTCAATTTTGTAAGTTTTCAGTTTCTCGAATTTTTAAATTTTAGATTTTTCACCTTTTTGTTATTTCGATTTGTCAAAATTTCGGATTTAATTCTTCAGATTTTCGATTATTTGCGTTTTTAATTTTTCGAAGTTTCGGTTTAGGGATTTATGTATTTAAATTTTTCGATTTTTCAATTTTTCATTTTCGGCGTTTCTAAATTTTTCGATTTTTCGTTTTCTCAATTTCTCGATTAATTGATTTTTTAATTTTCCGATTTTTAGATTTCTCGGTTTAAGTTTTGAGATTTTTCAATTTTGGGATTTTTCGACTTTCTGTTTGTTGCTTTTTTTACTTTTTCAATTTTTTCGAATTTTTAAATTTTAAATTTTTCACTTGTTTCGATTTTTCAGTTTTTCGGAATTAATTTTTCGGGTTTGGAATTCTCCCATTTTTCCGTCTCTAGCTATTTCGATATCTCAATTTTTCGAGTTCGATTTCTCGATTTCTCAGTTTGTCGAAAATTCATGTTTTCGATTTTTCGATTTTCCAATTTTTTAACGTTCCAATTTTGGGATTCATGTATTTAAATTTTTCGATTTTTCAATTTTTTAATTTTTGGCGTTTCTAAATTTTTGGATTTCTCGATTAATGGATTTTTTAATTTTTCGACTTTTCGGTTTTTCGTCTTTCGGATTCCTCGATTTCTCAATTTTTCGATTCTTTGCCTTTTCGTGTTTAGATTTTTTTATTTTTCAGTTTTTCGGAATTATATTTTCATTTTTTCGAGATTTCGATTTTTCAATTGTCGATTTAACGGTTTTCTTTCGATTTTTCGCTTTCTCATTTTTAGATTTGCCGTTTTTCAATTTTTCGGAATTAATTTTTCAGTTTCGATTTTTGACTTTTTGGTTTATCGGTTTTTTTAATGTTCAAATTTTTCTATTTTGAATTTTCCCTTTTTTCGAATTTTATCCACTCCCACTTTTCAATTTTTCGATTTCGATTTGTCAGTTTTTCGATAATTCATCTTTTCCATTTTTTTCAACGTTTCGTTTCAGTTTTTGCATTTATGTATTTAAATTTTTCGATTTTTCAGTTCCTCGATTAATGGATTTTTTAATTTTTCAACTTTTCGATTTTTCGTCTACGATTTCTCGATTTTTCATGGTTTGTATTTTCGAATTTTCAATGTTGAAGTTTTGGGATTTTTTTTAGATTTTTCGACTTTTTGTTTTTTTTACTTATTCGAATTTCCAAAATATTGCAATTGAATGTACATTGTTCAATTTTCAATTTTTTGATTTTTCGATTTGTTGATTTGATTGCTCAATTTTTTAAGTTTTCAATTTTTGGAATTTTTAAATTTTAGGTTTTTCATTTTTTTGTTTATGCGCTTTCTCAGTCTTTCGATATTTTGCGTTCTCGTTTTTAGATTTTCCGGTTTTTCAGTTTTTCGGATTTAATTTTCAGTTTTTTGACGTTTCGATTTTTCACTTTTTGGTTTATCGGTTTTTTCATGTTAAAATTTTCTCGATTTTGAATTTCCCCATTTTTCGATTTTTAGCCAATTCCATTTTTCAGTTTTTTAATTTTTTCGACTTGTCGACTTTCGATTTTAAATATTTCGATTTCGCGATTTTTCGATCTCGATTTCTCAGTTTTTCCATAATTCACCTTTTCGACTTTCCAATTTTTCAACGTTTCAGTTTTGGGATTTATGTATTTAAATTTTTTGATTTTTTTATTTTTCAATTTTTGGCGTTTCTAAATTAAAAAAAATTTTTTTTTATTTTTCGATTGTTCAATGTATTCGAATCTTTAAATTTTAGATTTTTCATTTTTTTGTGATTTCTCAGTCTTTCGATTTGTTGGCTTCTTGTTTTTAGATTTTTAGATTTTCCGATTTTTCGGAATTAATTTTTCAGTTTCTCGATATTTCGATTTAACGGTTTTCTTTCGATTTTTCGCCTTCTCGTTTTTAGATTTCCCGGTTAAATTTTTCGGAATTAATTTTTCAGTTTTTCAATGTTTCGATTTTTCACTTTTCGGTTTATCGATTTTGCGATTTTTCAATTTTTCGATTTCGACTTCTCGATTTCTCAGTTTTTCGATAATTAATCTTTTCGGTTTTTCGATTTTCCAATTTTTCAACGTTTCAGTTTTGGGATTTATGTATTTAAATTTTTCGGTTTTTCAATTTTTGGCGTTTCTAAATTTTGGATTTTCTGTTTTCTCAATTTCTCGATTAATGAATTTTTTTATTTTGCGACTTTTCGATTTTTTATCTTTCCGATTTCTCGATTTCTCAATGTTTCTATTTTCAAATTTTCTGTGTTTAAGTTTTGGGATTTGTCAAAATACAGATTTTTAAATTTTTAGATTCTTCGACTTTCTGTTTTACTTATTCGGTTTTTCAAAATTTTGCGATTTTATTAAATCTTACATTTTTCGATTTTTTGATGTTTTAATTTCTCGATTTTGTAAATTTTCAATTTTTCTAATTTTTGAGTTTTAGATTTTTCACCTTTTTGTTGTTTCAATTTCTCAATCTTCTGATTTTTTGTCTTCTCATTTTTCGATTTTTCAATTTTTCGATTGATAGGGTTCTTTGAGGTTAAATTTTTCAATTTTGAATTTTCTTATTTTTCGATGTTTAGCTATTTCGATCTCAATTTTTTGATGTTTCGATTTCGCGTTGTTTGAATTTTTCGATTTCGATTTCTCGATTTCTCAGTTTTTCCAAAATTCATGTTTTCGATTTTTCGATTTTCCAATTTTTTAACGTTCCAATTTTGGGATTCATGTATTTAAATTTTTCGATTTTTCAATTTTTTAATTTTTGGCGTTTCTAAATTTTTGGATTTCTCGATTAATGGATTTTTTAATTTTTCGACTTTTCGGTTTTTCGTCTTTCGGATTCCTCGATTTCTCAATTTTTCGATTCTTTGCCTTTTCGTGTTTAGATTTTTTTATTTTTCAGTTTTTCGGAATTATATTTTCATTTTTTCGAGATTTCGATTTTTCAATTGTCGATTTAACGGTTTTCTTTCGATTTTTCGCTTTCTCATTTTTAGATTTGCCGTTTTTCAATTTTTCGGAATTAATTTTTCAGTTTCGATTTTTGACTTTTTGGTTTATCGGTTTTTTTAATGTTCAAATTTTTCTATTTTGAATTTTCCCTTTTTTCGAATTTTATCCACTCCCACTTTTCAATTTTTCGATTTCGATTTGTCAGTTTTTCGATAATTCATCTTTTCCATTTTTTTCAACGTTTCGTTTCAGTTTTTGCATTTATGTATTTAAATTTTTCGATTTTTCAGTTCCTCGATTAATGGATTTTTTAATTTTTCAACTTTTCGATTTTTCGTCTACGATTTCTCGATTTTTCATGGTTTGTATTTTCGAATTTTCAATGTTGAAGTTTTGGGATTTTTTTTAGATTTTTCGACTTTTTGTTTTTTTTACTTATTCGAATTTCCAAAATATTGCAATTGAATGTACATTGTTCAATTTTCAATTTTTTGATTTTTCGTTTTAAGTTTTCAATTTTTGGAATTTTTAAATTTTAGATTTTTCATTTTTTTGTTTATGCGCTTTCTCAGTCTTTCGATATTTTGCGTTCTCGTTTTTAGATTTTTCGGATTTAATTTTCAGTTTTTTGACGTTTCGATTTTTCCCTTTTTGGTTTATCGGTTTTTTCATGTTAAAATTTTCTCGATTTTGAATTTCCCCATTTTTCGATTTTTAGCCAATTCCATTTTTCAGTTTTTTAATTTTTTCGACTTGTCGACTTTCGATTTTAAATATTTCGATTTCGCGATTTTTCGATCTCGATTTCTCAGTTTTTCCATAATTCACCTTTTCGACTTTCCAATTTTTCAACGTTTCAGTTTTGGGATTTATGTATTTAAATTTTTTGATTTTTTTATTTTTCAATTTTTGGCGTTTCTAAATTAAATTTATTTTTCGATTGTTCAATTTATTCGAATCTTTAAATTTTAGATTTTTCATTTTTTTGTGATTTCTCAGTCTTTCGATTTTTTGGCTTCTTGTTTTTAGATTTTTAGATTTTCCGATTTTTCGGAATTAATTTTTCAGTTTTTCGATATTTCGATTTAACGGTTTTCTTTCGATTTTTCGCCTTCTCGTTTTTAGATTTCCCGGTTAAATTTTTCGGAATTAATTTTTCAGTTTTTCAATGTTTCGATTTTTCACTTTTCGGTATATCGATTTTTCCATTTTTTTATTTTTAGCCACTTCTATTTCTCAATTTTTCGATTCTTCGACTTCTCAATCTTTTGATGTTTTGATTTTGCAATTTTTCAATTTTTCGATTTCGACTTCTCGATTTCTCAGTTTTTCGATAATTCATCTTTTCGGTTTTTCGATTTTCCAATTTTTCAACGTTTCAGTTTTGGGATTTATGTATTTAAATTTTTCGATTTTTCAATTTTTGGCGTTTCTAAATTTTTGGATTTTCTGTTTTCTCAGTTTCTCGATTAATGATTTTTTTAATTTTGCGACTTTTCGATTTTTGTCTTTCCGATTTCTCGATTTCTCAATTTTTAGATTTTCAAATTTTCTGTGTTTAAGTTTTGGGATTTGTCAATATGTATTTCGATTTTTAAATTTTTAGATTTTTCGACTTTCTGTTTTCCTGATTTTTTACTTATTTGGTTTTTCAAAATTTTGGGACTTTTGAAATCTTACATTTTTCGATTTTTTTCATTGATGTTTTAATTTCTCGATTTTTAAATTTTAGATTTTTCACCTTTTTGTTGTTTCAATTTCTCAGTCTTCTGATTTTTTGCCTTCTGATTTTTCGATTTATTAATTTTTCAGTTTTTCGATATTTGGATTTTTCAATTTTTCGATTTATAGGGTTGTTTGAGGTTAAATTTTTCAATTTTGAATTTTCTTATTTTTCGATCTTTAGCAATTTCGATTTCAATTTTTCGATGTTTCGATGTCTCGACTTGTCGATTTTTTTATGTTTCGATTTCGCGTTTTTTGAATTTTTCGATTTCGATTTCGCGATTTCTCAGTTTTTTTGATTAATCCATTTTTTTAATTTTTTCGATTTCTCTGTTTGTCTTGGGATTTTCCAACTTTATGTTTTTTGATTTTTTGCTTCTCGATTTTTCAAAATTTTACGAGTTTTTAAATCTTACATTTTCATCTATTCGATATTTTAATTTTTGGATTTTTGAGTTTTTTAGATTTTTAAAATTCTTGGTTTTTCAATTTTTCTTGACTTCTCATTCAAAAACGAAATATCACATATTAAAAAAAAAACTCTAGGAGCCCCTACGGATCATCGAGATTTTTTAAAAGTATTTTAAAAACAAAACACGAGAGGTCTGCAAGACTTTCTCTTTTAAACGGAAAAAATGGGTCTAAAGTTAATTAGTGAGATCTTCCCTCGTCTCTGAAGTAAAAATATATTTACTTGCTTAACTTCAATTGTTTGGGTTTATACTTCGAAAGAATGCGACAATTAAGCACGCAACAGAGTGGCTCCTCAATACAGAGGAAGCGATTAAAACTATTAATAAGTTACAATGCAGCATAACAAAAAAAAAGGATGTTTTAAGAATATTAAAAAAATCCCTAACAAAAACTGTAACAATGTTGCCAATAATTTCACACTGTCTTTTCTATTATTTCAGTATTTAATAAGCATACACTCATAATTTAACAATTTTTAGATATTTCCACACTTTATTGAGTAACCCTGAGATATTAAAAACCTACTATGAAGACAATGCAATATTACGTGATCAAGAAAAAAGTAGCATGTTACCTAACATGGCTGCAGGTGTAGGCTCAATTTTATTCGCCATAAACATCGATAAACCTGAGCTAAACAGCGGCATCCAACCTAGGATAGAAAATTTCAAATCTAAAGCAGAGCCCGTAATAGAAGCCCCCATAGTAGGTAATACACCCCCCCTCAACCACCATCCCCATACTAACTTTCACCCCAAACAGAAAACAAAGAGCGCCCCAAAAACAAAAAAAAGAAAAAAGTCGCCAGACAATTCATTTCCTTTGATGAGGACGACACCAGCGTGCTCTCCACCAGTGTCCCCTCAACCTCAAGCAGTATTTCTTCCGACAGTAATTCAAACGACAATCAGTCTTCCAAAACCACAAACAAACAACTAAAAGATATCGTCGAAGAAAACAAACCACACAAACCAGAAATGTCAAACGAAAACGAAAAATCAACAATAAAGCGAAAATTGTCGATCGAAACCAGCGGCTCCCGCGAAAAATTCACCGGCGACGTCCCCGAAACGTTAACGCCGGTAACGCACGCCGAAATCGGGGAGCTGACGCCCGTATCGGTCGAAATCAACAAAAATTTTGAATCTCCGGACGTGTCCGACGATATCCTCGAAATCCCCACTGACATCAGCGAAGTTCTGACAGCGGTGGAAGCGCAAAACAAAGAAGAATTAAAAAAGAAGCAGGATAAAATCGACGCGCTTTCGAAAGAAAACGAGATCTTGAAGGAGCAAATTAAGAAATATGTGGGGGCGATTCAGATGTTGCAAGACAACGATGTCGACGATTTGCAGAAAACGTTGGAGGATTTGGAAATCAGTGAGCAGCCGGATTATAAAGGCGAGGCGAAGTTGTTTGAACGAAAACTCGTCCAGGTTGCTGAAATGCACGCCGAACTGATGGACTTCAACGTGGCCCTTCAGCAGTCTTTGTGCCAAAAAGATCTACTGTTAGAGCGGCTTAAGTCCGAACTCGAGGAGCTGCGCGGTCCGATGCCTACAGACGAAATCGTGACTGAAACCAGAGGGAACGTGAATATTTGGATTCCGAGCGCGTTTCTGACAGGTTGTGGACTACCGTGAAGATTTTTTTGACCACTTTGTGTGTTTGTCTGTTTGTGTTATAGGGAGCGGTTCCAACGCCCACCACGTGTACCAGATTTTCCTGCGGGCGGGGAACGACGAGTGGAATATATACAGAAGATATGCTCAATTCTATGCCTTGCATTCTGATTTAAAAAAACTTGATCCTACAGTTACCACTTTCGACTTTCCGCCGAAGAAGAGTATAGGGAAGAAGGATTCGGCGCTGGTTGAAGATAGAAGGAAGCGATTGCAGATTTATTTGAGAAGGGTTTTGGCTCACTGGCCCGAGTTGGCGCATTGCAATAGTAGATTTTTGTTAGAACAGCATCTGGCATTCTTCAAGTAAGGTTTGAGTGGTGGGTGAAAGTGTTACTAGGTTTGGTTGCAGGGACCAGAAGGATGTCGATCCGAAGAATAAAAGTATATTTTCTCCGAGGAGGAATAGAACTAGCAACGATAACCATTACGCAGGGCTTTAAATAGTTTCATTTAGTTAATTATTATTTTGATGAAATGATTCGAATCATTTTAATAGTTGCGTATTTATTTAATCACTTAGACTTAGTGAGATATGTTGATATTTTGCGTTGTACTCGTCTTTTTTGAAAGTTTATTCAAGGATGATGTTGGAGCTAACGTTTTATTGTAATGCGTAAGTACAAAGTTTGTATTTGAGATGTTTTATATTTTCCAAGTGATGAAATTAATAAAATTCATTATAGAAAGAGCTGATTTTTTTAATTGAAAACCGGCTACCTTATGCCAATTAAGACACTTTGGGCCTCGATTTTTCGATCACTCCAACCGTTTTTCCAGAATCGCCCGTTGAAATGTCGAAATTTTTAAAAATTTCAAAAATTTCGCATTTTGCGACGAATATTTCAAAAATGTTGCTCTTTTACCATAAACACACTATATTTTTGGAATCAGCACGTCGAGATCTACATCATGACATCCATATCACTGCCATTTTGGACAATTTTTACACAACTTTCTTAGAAATGAGATTTTCACCTAATGCCAATTTCGACCAATTTTCGACCATTTTCGAAATTCAACTAAATACATTTTCTCGTAGATTTCGAGCCGCAGAAGACACTTTGGGCCTCGATTCTTCGATCACTTCAACCGTTTTTCCAGATTCGCCCGCTGAAATGTCGAAATTTTTAAAAATTTCAAAAATTTCGCATTTCGCGACGAATATTTCCAAAATGTTGCCCTTTTACCATAAACACGCTATATTTTTGGAATCAGTACGTCGAGATCTACATCATGACATCCATATCACTGCATTTTTCGACAATTCTTACACAACTTTCTTAGAAATGAGATTTTCACCTAATGCCAATTTCGACCAATTTTCGACCATTTTCGAAATTCAACTAAATACATTTTCTCGTAGATTTCGAGCCGTAGAAGACACTTTGGGCCTCGATTCTTCGATTACTCCAATCGTTTTTCCAGAATCGCCAGTTGAAATGTCGAAATTTTGAAATATTTCAAAAATTTCGCATTTCGCGACGAATATTTCAAAAATGTTGCTCTTTTACCATAAACACGCTATATTTTTGGAATCAGCACGTCGAGATCTACATCATGACATCCATATCACTGCATTGTTTGACAATTTTTACACAACTTTCTAAGAAATGACGATTTTCCCCCAAAATTCTTTTAAATAATTTACAAAAAAATTTGCCAAAATCAGTCTTATCTTAGCAGGTACTAGCCGCGCCCACCCACCCCCTCTTTTCTTAGAAGATATGTCATCAGTACTCGCTCAGATAAAACTGATTTTAGCAAATGACATACCCTTTAAGAAAAGAAGGGTGGGTGGGTGGGGCCAGTAATTTCTAAGATAAAAGGGATTTTGGCAGATGACATACCCTTGAAGAAAAGATATGGTGGGTGGGCGAGGTTAGTACCTGCTAAGATAAGACTGATGTTGGCAAATGACATAGCCCCAAAATACATTTAAAGAAGGTACAAAAAAATGCTAAAATCAGTCTTACATTAGCAGGTACTAGCCCCGCCCACCCACCCACTCTTTTTTTAGAAGGTATATGATTTGCCAAAATCATTTTTATCTTAGCAGGTTCTAGCCCCGCCCACCCACCCTCTCTTTTTTTAGAAGCTACGTGATTTGCCAGAATCACTTGTATCTTAGCAGGTACTAGCCCCGCCCACCCACCCCCTCTTTTCTTAGAAGATATGTCATCAGTACTCGCTCAGATAAAACTGATTTTAGCAAATGACATACCCTTTAAGAAAAGAAGGGTGGGTGGGTGGGGCCAGTAATTGCTAAGATAAAAGGGATTTTGGCAGATGATATACCCTTGAAGAAAAGATAGGGTGGGTGGGCGGGGTTAGTACCTGCTAAGGTAAGACTGATATTGGCAAATGACATAGCCCCAAAATACTTTTAAAAAATGTACAAAAAAAATCCAAAATCAGTCTTACCTTAGCAGGTACTAGCCCCGCCCACCCACCCTCACTTTTTTTAGAAGGTATGTGATTTGCCAAAATTGCTTTTAGCTTAGCAGATACCAGCCCCGCCCACCCACCCCCTCTTTTCTTAGAAGATATGTCATCAGTACTTGCTCAGATAAAACTGATTTTAGCAAATGACATACACTCTAAGAAAAGAGAGGGTGGGTGGGTGGGGCCAGTAATTGTTAAAATAAAAGGGATTTTGGCAAATGACATACCCTTGAGGAAGAGAGAGGGTGGGTGGGCGGGGCTAGTACCTGCTAAGATAAAACTGATTTGGGAAATGACATAGCCCCAAAATACTTTTACAAAATATACAAAAAAATGCCAAAATCAGTCTTACCTTAGCAGGTACTAGCCCCGCCCACCCACCCTCTCTTTTTTTAGAAGGTATGTGATTTGCCAAAATCGCTTTTATATTAGCAGGTATCAGCCCCGCCCACCCACCCCCTCTTTTCTTAGAAGATATGTCATCAGTACTTGCTGAGATTTCTCTAAGAAACTAGAGGGTGGGTGCGGGGGGGGTTAATACTTGCTAATCTAACATTGATTTTGGCAGATGACATACCCTCTAAGAAAATAATGGACGGGTCGGGCTAATACCTGCTAAAATCAGTTTTATCCTAGCAGCTATTAGTCCCACCCACTCGAATCTTTAAATTTTAGATTTTTCATTTTTTTGTGATTTGTCAGTCTTTCGATTTTTTGGCTTCTTGTTTTTAGATTTTTAGATTTTCCGATTTTTCGGAATTAATTTTTCAGTTTTTCGATATTTCGATTTAACGGTTTTCTTTCGATGTTTCGCCGTCTCGTTTTTAGATTTCCCGTTTAAATTTTTCGGAATTAATTTTTTAGTTTTTCAATGTTTCGATTTTTCACTTTTCGGTTTATCGATTTTCCCATTTTTTTATTTTTAGCCACTTCCATTTCTCAGTTTTTCGATTCTTCGACTTCTCAATCTTTTGATGTTTCTAAATTTTGGATTTTCTGTTTTCCCAATTTATCGATTAATGATTTTTTTATTTTGCGACTTTTCGATTTTTTATCCTTCCGATTTCTCGATTTCTCAATTTTTCGATTGATAGGGTTGTTTGAGGTTAAATTTTTCAATTTTGAATTTTCTTATTTTTCGATGTTTAGCTATTTCGATCTCAATTTTTTGATGTTTCGATTTCGCGTTTTTTGAATTTTTCGATTTCGATTTCTCGATTTCTCAGTTTTTCGATTAATCCATTTTTTAATTTCCCGATTTTTCGATTTCTCTGTTTAAGTCTTGGGATTTTTCAAGATTTCGATGTTTAAATTTTTAGATTTCCAACTTTCTGTTTTTTGATTTTTTACTTCTCGATTTTTCAAAATCTTCCCGCGCCTCTGAAGTGAAAATATATTTACAGTACTTGCTTAACTTCAGTTGTTTAGGTTTATACATCGAAAGAGTGCGACAATTAAGCACGCAACAAATTCTCAAAACAGAGGAAGCGATTAAAATCATTAATTAAGCTACAATGACAATTTTTATTTTATCATTATTAAATATAGGGCAAAAAATCAAAAGATTGAGAAATCGAAACAGCAAAAAAGAAAGAATTTCGAATATGCTAAGGAAAAATGAAAATCTGACAAAAACTGTAACAATAATTTCACACCGCCTTTTCTATTATTTCAGTATTTAATAAGCATGGTCAATATATTCATAATTCAACAATTTTTAGATATTTCCACACTTTATTGAGTAACCCTGAGATATTAAAAACCTACTATGAAGACAATGCAATATTACGTGATCAAGAAAAAAGTAGCATGTTACCTAACATGGCTGCAGGTGTAGGCTCAATTTTATTCGCCATAAACATCGATAAACCTGAGCTAAACAGCGGCATCCAACCTAGGATAGAAAATTTCAAATCTAAAGCAGAGCCCGTAATAGAAGCCCCCATAGTAGGTAATACACCCCCTTTCAACCACCATCCCCATACTAACTTTCACTCCAAACAGAAAACAAAGAGCGCCCCAAAAACAAAAAAAAGAAAAAAGTCGCCAGACAATTCATTTCCTTTGATGAGGACGACACCAGCGTGCTTTCCACCAGTGTCCCCTCAACCTCAAACAGTATTTCTTCCGACAGTAATTCAAACGACAATCAGTCTTCCAAAACCACAAACAAACAACTAAAAGATATCGTCGAAGAAAACAAACCACACAAACCAGAAATGTCAAACGAAAACGAAAAATCAACAATAAAGCGAAAATTGTCGATCGAAACCAGCGGCTCCCGCGAAAAATTCACCGGCGACGTGCCCGAAACGTTAACGCCGGTAATCCACGCCGAAATCGGGGAGCTGACACCCGTATCGGTCGAAATCAACAAAAATTTTGAATCTCCGGACGTGTCCGACGATATCCTCGAAATCCCCACTGATATCAGCGAAGTTCTGACAGCGGTGGAAGCTCAAAACAAAGAAGAATTAAAAAAGAAGCAGGATAAAATCGACGCGCTTTCGAAAGAAAACGAGATCTTGAAGGAGCAAATCAAGAAATATGTGGGGGCGATTCAGATGTTGCAAGACAACGATGTCGACGATTTGCAGAAAACGTTGGAGGATTTGGAAATCAGTGAGCAGCCGGATTATAAAGGAGAGGCGAAATTGTTTGAACGAAAACTCGTCCAGGTTGCTGAAATGCACGCCGAACTGATGGACTTCAACGTGGCCCTTCAGCAGTCTTTGTGCCAAAAAGATCTACTGTTAGAGCGGCTTAAGTCCGAACTCGAGGAGCTGCGCGGTCCGATGCCTACAGACGAAATCGTGACTGAAACCAGAGGGAACGTGAATATTTGGATTCCGAGCGCGTTTCTGACAGGTTGTGGACTACCGTGAAGATTTTTTTGACCACTTTGTGTGTTTGTCTGTTTGTGTTATAGGGAGCGGTTCCAATGCCCACCACGTGTACCAGATTTTCCTGCGGGCGGGGAACGACGAGTGGAATATATACAGAAGATATGCTCAATTCTATGCCTTGCATTCTGATTTAAAAAAACTTGATCCTACAGTTACCACTTTCGACTTTCCGCCGAAGAAGAGTATAGGGAAGAAGGATTCGGCGCTGGTTGAAGATAGAAGGAAGCGATTGCAGATTTATTTGAGAAGGGTTTTGGCTCACTGGCCCGAGTTGGCGCATTGCAATAGTAGATTTTTGTTAGAACAGCATCTGGCATTCTTCAAGTAAGGTTTGAGTGGT